ACTTTTATATGATACTTAGACTACACCACATATGTTGTTTCGTTTAATGTGAGGAAAACTGAAGAAAGAGAAAAGAACCAAGAAACGTGTGCAAGCAATAGATAGAAACGAAATTGTGTAGATCATTGACTATTGCCATTTGTGAATCATGACTTTTTGATACGGCTTTATCTATGTCCTTCAGACATGTCTAGGAAGGCACTTACATTTTTGTCACTCTGCCTTCTGAAAACGACATATACTACAAGCAACATTGTCTCTTATGCACATAACAGACGTCTTATTTTCTTATTATGATAATTAGTTCAGCGATCCTACACGTCTTACGAGGAACCTCGCGAGGTGATATTTCGCATTATTGTCGCCGACAAAGATTTTGTTATCCACGAAGTTATCTTCTATGAAAAACCATTAATTAAATTAGAAAGAAGAGGTTGGGCGAGAGCTATTGAAACATTTTTAAATATCGACGACAATACTCGTGAAAAAGTTCTTAACACTTTTTATTGTCCAAATGATATTCTAGAGGCGAAAAATGATGCTATGAAAATATTCTATAATTTATTAGACAATGAATCAATAAAACTTAACGATCAAAACACAAAAGAAGTAATAAGTTTTATATCTATTTGTAACGTTAACACACATACTATCAATGATTATTTTGATGGTCTTTATGAAATCTCATCCAAATTCGCACATAGTTGTGCTCCAAATATTGCTTGTAATTCAGCAGATAAAGACGATAATAACGGACCTATATATTTTGAAGCAATCAAAAATATAAAAACTGGTGATATGATGACAATTGATTATTTATTATCTATGGAATCTATTATGTCAACATCTCAGCGTCGAGCCATTTTAAAAGATAAATACTAATTCGATTGCGAGTGTTCACGTTGTATGTGCCCCGATAATTGTCGTTTATGAAAATGTCGATCATGTAACACTGGATACATTCAATTAAATGGTGGATCAAAGAAAGTATCTGGAAATGTAACCAATGTCAATTTAATTTTGAGAATAATAAAGAAATTTTACTGTTAGAATCGCCCATTGAATACATAACGCAATTTATCGATTCTATTCACGATGATCAAGAGCATGAGCATAGATTGGAATTCTACGAAGAGTCTTTAAAAGACATAGAAAAAACAATAGGTACCTACATATACACTGTATAGAACTCGAGCTGAGCTAAGCTCGTTAGCATTCTTTTCTGTATCTGCAAATGGACCTATATATACACTAATCGCAATCTTGTAGTAAGCGAATTAAACATTCCTTTATTTTTCATTAAAA